CTATTTTTCTAAGAATATTTGTACTAAGAAAATGAATGTCATTCAGATATGCATGTGTTTTGTATATAAACTTCGGAAAAGATCCAAATATACCTCTATATTTTCGAAAACGGTCTAAGAATATCTCTCATTATACTATTGGGTTATTTATACCTTTACAGTCATATTTTGGGTTCAAATATATCCCTCATTTAAACGGAGGAACACGTGTCATCGTCCTGTTGGCCAATTCTAAATATCTCCTAATTAATTAAAAATACTCATTACCTATATCCGAAAAATAATTTTCTAAAGTAATTTTTTTGTAAAAACTGAAAAAAATAAATTTTTTTACTAAAAACTGAAAAAAAAAACAAAATATTTTTTTCCAGTTTTAATAAAAATATTGCTTTAAAAAAACTAAAAAATAATTTCTAAAGCAATTATTTTGGTAAAAACTAAAAAAATACTTAAAAGCTATTTTCTAAAGCAGTATTTTTGTAAAAATTGAAAAAAAACAAATATTTTCTTCTTTTTTTTTTCAGTTTTTAGTTTTAAAAAATCAGTTTTTAGTTAAAAATATTTCAGTTTTTTTCCGATTTTTACACGCTTTAGATAATTGCTTTTCAGTTTTTTTTTTCATTTTTTACAAAAACATTGTCTTAGAAAATATTGGAAAAAAAATATTTTCGTTTTTTTCCAGTTTTTAGTTAAAAAAACAATTCCGTTTTTTTTCAGTTTTTACAAAAAATAATTACTTTAGAAAATTAATTTTCGGGTATTGGTAATGAGTCTTTTTAATTAATTAGGAGATATTTAGAATTGGCCAACATGACGATGACACGTGTCCCTCCGNGACTGAGTGTCAATATGGATTGCATTTTGTCAATCTGACCAACTAAATCAATTCAATAAGTTACAGAAACGTAACATTAAGCATTTAAATAGTTAAATCCAAGAAGAAGAATCCAAAGTTGTACTCTAAAAACTAAAAAAAGAAAAAAGACATGGAAAAACAACCATATGCTATAGTACATTGCAAACATAATTAAGGTGGTTATGTTGATCCTTGTATCAGTAAAAAACAAACTAAAAAGTATAAACACAGTGTATTTGATAATCTCAATTGATAAATCATGATCAGTATGCTATTCGAATTGATGTTAACAAGTCGTTTGAAATCATGAAGCTTACAATTATTAGAAAACATTTTAGTTTAGGAATATTTAAAGTAGTTTTTTTTGGGTACAAAAGTAATAACCTCTTTCCTTGTATAGATATTTGATAAAAACTACAAATAATTAGTACAATATAAAAATAAAAGTGCACGTAGCATTTCGCATTCACGTAGGGTCCGAGAAAGGGCCACACGTGTGATGCAAGAGTCAGTGGTTGATTTCACGACTCGAACTCGCGACCTATAGATCACACGAAGACAAGTTTACCGTTGCTCGAAGGCTCTCGTTCTAATACAATATATGCGTAACTTATAATTTTTAATAGATTTAGCAAATAATATTACAAACACATTTGAAGTCACTTTCCCGTGATTACACTTTTTCCCCATTTCTTAACAGTTTTTTATCTTACAACATATACAAGATAAAAAATAAAGGTAAAAAGTCAATGAGTTCTGTAGCCTATGTAATTCCTGATAGTACAACTCAATGTCTGAATGAATATGTATCAAATCAGCTTTTAAGTTTTTTTCGGTGTTTGACAGAGCTATAAAGTGTTTAAAATAAATTAAAAATTGCTTAAAACAAGTCAAAAATAATAAGTTGGCAACCCCAACTTATTACTTGTTGGCTTAAAAATTATTTTTGCTGAAAAATTACTTTTTTTAAGTCAATCCAAACAAGCTCTATATATTTGTTGCTGAGGTATGACACCTTCGATAGATTGATTGATGTAATCCCCCCAAATCTAAACTTTTACACTATTCTTTTAACAGAGGATGATGAAGCAAAGGAAAAAAGAGCTACTACTATTTGACATGATCATGTAGTTAGGAAAAAGAAAAGTTGACTCTCATTAATAACACATAAAAATCCATTTCTATTTTTTTCACTAAATGAATAATTATTTTCCCAAATGAATTAGCATATATTAATAAGAAATGTGGTATATGGCTATATGTTTGTAACAACTTAAAGTAATTGCGTTCCGATTGGAATTTTATGGATGTTTATGTGCAGTGGCAGATCGGAGATTTTAAGAGGATGTGTGCACTACTACTATGAAGAGATGAATTAAAATTCATAATTTACGTGTTTAACTTTAGACTATTACCATAAACACATTGACACTTTGAAAATATAGGTTCAGAATTGTATTATTTTTAAAATTTTAGTGATTTTCACATATATATCTACGATTCATATTGAAAACAAGACTGTCCGGAGTGGAATTTGAACTACCAATTTCATTTATAGAGTTTCACCCAATAATTATTGTACCATAAGAGTTTTTGAGCTTGGATACACCGATATGTATTTAAATAATTTTAAAGAAATTTAACATTATTATATATACATGATTTAGGAAGAAGAGTATAAGTTCACATAAACTCACATCTCTCAACCTAAATACGCCCATGTTTATATGTAATTATAGTTGTTTGTGATTTATTGATATTATTTAGTTGAGACCCGAGAAGTTTAAACATGTTTCTTACAAAGTGAAACTTAAAATCTGGTGTACTAGTTTAAATAAGTTGAAATGAATGGAATAAATTGAGATAGTCTCTTAATGACAAAATCAATATGTACTAGTACACATAAAAAAGTGAATATGATCATAAATTTGTGTTGCATGATCCCGAAATACCAAATAATGAATCTCCGAAAGTCATGACGAAGTGATGAGTATTGATCATTAGGTCGTTTCTAATGAACTTATGAAATTTCAAGCCAATCCAAAGGCGGCTTAACTCCCAGACCACTAAAGCGATTGCTCTAGGCCTCACAAAATTAGAGGCCCAAAACTACTCTTCTTATATGTAATTTAAATATTTATTGTATTTATTATGTGGTCTTTTTTTTTTGTAGTTGGTTGAGAAAATTCTAATGAAAGTGAAAGACAATTAAATCTGCACTTATTTTCTAGTTCTTCTCCCTCCAACTTGAACCAATTTTATTTATAAATTCTACCTTTATAAAATATTTTCTTTCAAGGTCTTTGTAGGTACTCTTCAAGCTAATTAGATCGTAAAAAGCTACAGTTGATTTGTTTATCATCTTTGTAAATGTATAACTACATGAAAGATGTAATATATTTGCCTTTGTAAATATAAATTTCCACATGATTGTTACTCTGGGAGACAATGATATATAGTAAGTTAATGATATATAGTAAGTTATATTGACGGTCATGTGAAAAAAAATTAAAATTAAACTTAATAAATCTTAACAAAAGTTAGTACTGTTTCAACAAAGATTAAATGGGTTGGGTACATCGTCAAATATTAAATTGCATCTCAAAAAGCAAAAGGAATAGACTTTAAATAAAAATATCTAAAATTATTAAACAAGTTTAAGACGTCTTATTACGGCTTATCTTTAGGCCACCAATGCCATTGAGCCGCCTCTGGGCCAATCGAAGTCCATAAAAAAACTATAAAATCAGCATGTACATTAACACAGAAAAAAGTGAATATAATTATAAATTCGTGTTGGAACACTACGAAACGCTAACAAATGAATCGAAAAATAATGAAGAAGCAATGAGTATTTGTCACTAGGTCATTTCTTATAAATCTACAAAACATTCAGGCTAATCGAAATCCGTTAAAAAATTCTATAAAATTAGCATATACTGATGCACAAGAAAAATTAATATAGTAATAAATTCATGTTGCATGACCCTTAAAGGTAAGAATGAGCCCGAAAGTCATGGCGAAGTGATGAGTATTGGTCACCAGACCGTTTTCTATGGACCTATGAAATTTTAGGCCAATTGAATCCATAAAATAAATAATACTAAATTAGCATGTACTAATACACACGAAAAGGTGGATATAATATTCGCATTGCATGACCCAAAAATTCCAAAAAATGAATGTGAAAGTCATAGCAAAGTGATAAGTATTATCTAAGGTCTCGTTTGTCCATAAATTTTAGGAGTGGGCATAGTTTGGACAAATCCGAAATCCAAATCGAAATTCAATTTATTTTAGATTTTTGGTTTGAATTTTCGGATAACATATTGGATTTTGGATTCAATTTTTATTTTTTTGGATTTCGGATTGAATATTGGATTTGGCACTTCGAATTTTTGGATATCTAAAAATTCAAATTTTTTATACTTTATATTTAGTTCAGTATCCATATGTCAATAATAATAAGTCCAATACCCTATTAATTAGATATTATTTCATATATTCAATATTAATTACTAAGTTACCGCCAAAATACTTTTTATTTGGACATGGCTTTACTATTGCTACTTCTTATCGGCCATATTAATGTCTCTGTTGCATTTTCTTGATAATGATTTCATTACTTGAATACTTTAATTGGATGACTGCGGTGAGAATGACGAACTTTTAAGGCAATTTAACATGAGTACTTCATTTGGATAATAATTTTTTTAAGAAGAAGAAACATCTCAACTTATAAAAGTTCAAAACCAAAAATTTAAAATATTCAAACTGATTAATCGAAAACCGAACTTAAAAAATCTGATCAATTCCGAACTTATTTGGATTGGATTTCGATTGTCATTTTTTAATCCGAAAATCGAAAATCAAAAATCCAAGCAGAAATTTTCATATCCAATCCGAACTGCCCAAACGCCCACCCCTAATAAAAAAAAAAATCTTTCAAATTTGTGTTTGTCCATGAAAATTTTCAAGTTTTTGAAATTTTTCGAAAATGAGTTCTTTTTTTTTTTTTCAAAAATTAAAATGTTTATGTCCAAAAACCTACTAAATGAGCCGCTGGGCCCCAGACACTCTTCCACCCCCTTCACCCCACGGTTGCAATTACTGCTATTTCTTTCATAAACAAACGTAAAGTGGACTCTTCCATTCTCTCTTCTTTCCCCTTTTCCTATTAAAAAAAGTCATATACTATACTACCCTATAAACAATACCTACAACATCCCCTCATTAGTTATTCCCTGTTCATTTCATTTCCTACACTTAAAAATTCTCTAGATAAAACCAGTTCTTTTCATCAAATAATCAAGGATTTCAAGAAGCCATGAAAGATAGAGGCAAAGCTGCAGCTGTAGACAACAACTTCTCAGATTTCAATTACTCTATTTCATCAACTATACCATGTACCAAACACCCAAATACATCTACTGTTGGAATCTGCAGTTACTGTTTAAAAGACAGATTGGTCAATTTAGTATGTTCTGAGTGTGGTGAGCAAAGACTCTCTTCTTGTTCTTGCTCTGATGATATCTCTTCTTATAGAAATTCTTGTTCTGTTGATGTTGGCAGTGTTGGTAGAATTTCATTTTTATTAGAAAATGAGAAAAATACTGATCAAAGTGTACCAATTCAGCAGTCACAGTCAGAACAAGTGATCTTGCTAAGAAGTAGCAGCAACTGCGTAGAAATCAAGAAAAGTAAAAATGGTTTTTGGAAGATTAAGAGACTTTTTAGAAAGAAAAGAGAAAAGGGTACAATTGGGGTTGATGAAAAAAGTGATATTTGTGTATCTGATGCAGTTATGGGAGTTTCAAGATCAAGATCATTATGTAGTTTTAGAGGTGATGATTTTGGCAGTGAATATAGATTTTCAAGTGCAAAAATTTCTGATGTTACAGGGGGTTTGTTATTTGATTCTGATCATGAGCCAAGAAAGAGTGGTAGTAATTTCAAGAATTTTAGTGTTCCAAATAAGGGAAATAATACATTTCCTGTTAAGGAAAGTGATTTTAGTACTATAATGGATGATTCAGCATTTATAGATTTGAAGCTTGATTTATCATCAGAGACAAGATCAGATTTTTATGGTAAAAGACTTGGTAATAGTTCAGATAATGGATATGATTCTGCAGCTTCAATTGGGAATTTAAGAGGTGGATCTTGTAGAATGAATGAATATGACAGAAAGATCAAAAGAGGTAGTAGTAGTAGTAGTCATGGCAAAGGAAACAAAGTGTGGAAATGGATTTTCAGGCAAACAACTTCAGATGGGAGGAAAAGTACAAGAAAAAGAGATGATGCAATTAATAGTAATTTGATTTTTAAGTCTTAAGAGTTCTTGAAATAAGACAGATTTGTACTATTCTCTTTGGTTATGCTTTTTGTTCATAGCACTATCTCTCACTTAGAAGGGAGCCTTTGAACAATGGTAACGGCGAGATTACGATATAAAATTTAATATGATCCGAGCTTTCCTCAAATTATGTGCAGCTTGGAGCTTGGAGCTTGGAGCTTGGAGCTTAGTGCACCGAGCTACTTTTAGCGCTAGCTCATGTTTAAATGATAATTTTGCATAGGAAGCAATACTTCTTAGTAGCAAGAAAAGTAAATACTACAAAACTTTACCTATTTCTCTGCTTTTATTTGCTGAAGCAATACTATCTTAGTAGTAAGAAAAGTAAATACTACAAAACTTTACCTATTTCTCTGCTTTTATTTGCTGAAGCAATACTATCTTAGTAGTAAGAAAAGTAAATACTACAAAACTTTACCTATTTCTCTGCTTTTATTTGCTTTTCTTTTTTCTTTTTCTCTAAGGTTGATTCTCTTCTATATGCTTTATTTTTTTCTTGTGGAGTAAAAAAATACACACACAAATAGCTGTTCTCTTTGGCTTTTCCCCCCTTTTCTTAATTATATTTGTTGGTGTATATAGTACATTTTATGCTCATTATAAGTTTGGGGAGAAGCTAAAAGAAAATCAACAAGGTAACCATCTCAAGAAAGGTATTATCCTGTCTCTAATTCAACATAGATTTTGATAATTATCTTTTACTTTTAATTCTGTATTGTCATAAGAAAATGAAGTGTAATTATTTAGTATTTTTTAGTACTTGAAAGTGATAATAGCTCTATTATATTAAGGATGTTGAAGGGTGGTTGAAATTCTTTTATTTTAACTAGAGCTCTTAGGTTCACGGTAATGAGCGCTTTACATTTCATAGTGAACTTACCATGCACGAATCTAAATTAGTTGAGTCAGTAAACTTCGAAAATCACAAGATTAAACAAAAAAGATATTCTAAGTAAAGGAAAACAATGGAGAACACATTTAGAATACTTATTAAAATTTATTTTAATGCACTCCCTTCCAACAATATATCTTTTGCAGACTAGAATAATACTCATATTTTGTAGACTTTAGATGTATGAAATCTGAATGAATGTGGGTCAATTCAGAGAGGTTTGAGTCATTTTCAGAAAAATGAGAACCGACCCTCTAAATGGGCTTTAACCACAAATGGTTTTGTGGTCCAAATCTGTACTAAGAACATTTAAAAGCCTAAATCTGAACCATTGCCCTACCTTAGATCTTGTTTGTTGATAAAATTTTGTTTTTGCATAAAAAGAAGCGTTTTGCTCCTACTCTCTCGTTCCTCTGTTTTTTCTTTTTCTGATTTGGGACCGATCTTCGATCTTGACACAACATAATTTTGCACGAGAAATACTTTTGATTGTTAAATAAAAAGAAAAGAGAAGTGGATGATAGATAAATTTGAAAGAAATTTAGCGTTTGCTGTAAACAATAGTGACTGACATATTTATTTTTATTTACAAAATATCTTTGAAGACAGTTGTTCATGATATTAAAAGTGTCTTAGTTGTAGGGCTTCAATCTTATTCATAAGACTGTCTTTTATCCACCCAATGTTTTATACCTGTTTTGAGAGCACCGACTAATACTATGTAATGCCTATTAAAGATAGAAGCGGTTTTATCCCCTAAAATTAGGTGTTTCAATGGTTTGGCCGATTATTTTATAAAAAATGTATCATACCAATTTTTTGATTATTTTATTATATATAATCAAAATTAGATTTTTCAAAAAAGTCTCAATCATGTTGGTTTCTCTTATGTATCGGTACGGTTTGGTTAATTTTTGATATTTTTTTTAAATGTCATGTAAAATTCACCGGTAGAAGTATAATGCGATAACATACATTCTTTTATAGGACGTAGCAAAACTCTCTAGATATTTTTATTGTTTAAAGGTGATGAATTAAAAAATACGAAAAAAGGGTAGAGTATAGATCCATAAACTATTCTACAACAACGTAAAAGAAACCAAGCAAAGGCAAAGAAAATATAAATCACACGAGTGGAAAGATATTAACCAAGTTGTGATTCAAGAATAAAGTCTATAGAAGATTAAATATTCAAAAAGATAAATCTAAATTATATAAAATAAAACATATTAATCTTATTCATTTTTTGGTGTTTGATACGCAAATTAAGGAAAATAACTTGTCAAGAGTATTCATAAATAATTTAGATACAATAAACATGAAGCAATAAACTTTCGAACTAACAACCTTCTGAACCCACAAATTTCATAAACTTCTTAACTGCTAAACTTTCGAACCCGCAAACTTCCAAAAACATAAAGCTCTGAACTCATAACTTTGAAACACGTTAAAAAATCGAACCTGTAAATTGAAAAATANAAAAAAAATTTGGGGGAGGGTTAGATGTGAGGGTGGATAAAGTTTTTTGAAAAATATTTACAAAATATTAAAAAATAAAAAAATATTTTCCGTCGTACCAAATACACCCTTAATTCATTTTAAGGTTTACACAGGAATCAAAAGTGTGCAAATGTTTGCAATTTTGACCGGTATCTTCGTATCTTACTAAGAACATCGCACCCTTTTTTTCAAAAACAAATGAAAAGAAAGGTTGATTTTTAAGTTAAGAAATTTTATCCTTGCTTGGTATAGTAGTTATATTTTCTCCCGGTCAATAATAAGTGATCATTTTATCTTTTTATTTTGGTCCAAAATAAGTATTCATTTACATAATCAAGAAATAATTAAATTTATTTTTTCAAAATTTATCCTTATTTACATATTCAAATGTGTCAAGGTAACAATTAATTAAAGGTTAATTTAGTGTGTCACACCCCCTTTTCACCTCACTAACCCTCTTTAAAATATATAAAGTGATTTATAAAGCTCAAAAGGGTTTTCATTTGAAAGTGACGGAAACATTTGTTTAAAAGGGATTTTCTGAGAGTCGCCACTTGGCATATAATCTCGGTGTGCTAAGTCACCATTTAAAACCAATTTTTCCTTAAAATCACATTTGACTCTAAACCAGTTTGCACCAGAGATCCAAGTAAGGGGGTTCATTTGACTCGGGGAGAAGGCGTTAGGCATTCCCCAAGTCCCGTGAAATTCACGATTGCGTACATGATCTAGTTGGCTTTACATAATACTCAAACTGAGGCAAAAAACACACAATAAATAAATAAATAAACACACAAGAGGCTCGCGGTTGTCCCTACCTAAATAAAAGAAAAAAAAATAAAAAAACAATATACTAAAATTCTATACTAGCATATACCAAAGCTTCCTCGATGATGTCATCCTTTACTTCTATTTACATATACTACGGACATTCTCCTGAATAAAATAATATTTACAAACTTTTCGGGGCATTCCCTGTATAGAATAATAAACTAAGGGACAACCTCTAACACCAAAAAAATGAAAAATCCTAAAATTTACCTACCCAAGTATAATCGGCCTAAAACATGCTCCTAACGATCAAAGTAAATAAGGCATAAATAAAACTAAAACTAAAATGACTAAAGGTTCATTTCGTTTAAACCCCAATCCCACGGCCTAATTCAAGAAGTTTTCGCTCTTTATTTTAATTTTTCCTTGTTTGCAGTATCACAAAAAGCCATCAGACATATAGGGCATGTTTGGATGGGCTTAAAAGCTGGTTTTTTTAAACTTTTAGTAGTGTCTGTCAAACAAAAAAATAGCTTAAAAAAAGTAAAAATCTACTTTAAAAAAAGTCAAAATCAACAAATTGAGTAAACCCAACTTTTTCGAATTTGACTTAAAAGTCACCTTACTTTGACCAAATATATTACATTCTTATCCCTTATAACTTTTCTTAATTCCGAAATTACCCCTCAATAAAAAAAACCTAAAACACACGATATCTTTCTTTTCTCCCTTTTTGTTGGAGAGACTGCGTTCTTCTTCCTCTTCTTGTTGTAGACTCTCCCCAACTTCAGCTCCAATTTGAAAGCCTCTTCGGTCCAGTAAGTTTAATCTTCCTGTTGAATTTCAATTCCTGGTGTGTTTTCAAAGTTTTGGATGACTAATTATTTGGCTTTTTCTTGGATTAATTTCAACTTTGTCACCCAAAAAATTTTCAATCAATGAAATTTTGGGTACAATGAATATAGTTTTCGGTCACCCAAAAACTTTTGTTGATAAAAAATAGTATTATATTGGTTGTTTTCTTTTCTTTCTCATATAAATGTAGTATAAAAATCGACTCTGCGTCGTATTAGCCGTCTTATTGCTAGTAAAGTGCTGAGTATCTCAAAACAACACAATTTTTTCAAAAGTTGTTTCTTGACTTTTATTTGCTTTTTTATTTTCATGAGTTGCATATGTGTGGTCATTGATTGTACTGTTTCGGCCTTGTGTTTCTGTAAAGTAGCAACCAGATTTTGTGGAATCATATAATTAAAAAGGAGACAAAGATGAAGAGATACAACTGTTATATAGCCACGTTATATCTATTTAGTCGATGTTAGGTATATATATATATAAGCTAAATATTATCGGAAGAAAATAAAGAATTAGCTTACAAGCTAAGCATTTAGTGAGCAAAAGAAATATGTTCAGCCATTAGAAAAGGTATTTAAAACAAATCAGGGAAACCAACCAGCATGCTCTGACTCTTTTGTAGCATTGGAGATGCACCTACCTGTAGGAAGAAATTAATTTTTGTGAGGCAGGTATATCAATATGTGTGTACATATATATATATCAACTGCATTGCAATTCAAAAAGCTAGTTGTGGTTGGTTATATGAAATTATGAATCCTCTGAATCTATTAGACTACTTTTATGTTGGCCATCAACTTACCATAACTTACCTCCTTTATTTGGGGGTAGGAATGGCTGTGCTTTGCAAACTAACATAGATATGTGTGGTCATTGATTGTACTGTTTCAGCCTTGTGTTTCTGTATGGAGGTTTCAATTTAAAATAAGCTTTGAAACTTCATAATATATGTCACTTAGAGTAGCAAAATAATATGTATTTCACCAAATGTATTTGTTTCAATTGTTGCCTTCTTTAGTTCATCACGGAGCCTCAAAGCAAACAGCTAAAGGTTTCTTTCTGTCAAACACAAGGCTCTTTTAGGCTCTCTTTATGCAACTTCAGTCTTAGCTTCTTGGTTGTTCTGCTTTCTTCAGATTATTTACATTCAATTATGCCGGACAATGTTAAGTGGGACGATGATACACATATTATATTTCTTGAGTTGTGTGAGCAAGAGGTTAGAAAAGAAAATAGACCAAACACTTACTTAAATAAAGATTGGTGGAAAAGTATTGTTGACGAGTTGTGCACATGGAGCTGAAAATCGATTGATACAGGAAATCTTTCAACATCCGGGAGAAACAATTCATAATGTTTTAAAGGCCAATTATGAACTTGCAAGAGATATAATTAGACCACATCAAAATTATAATGATGGTGCAGGAGCTCACAAGCCATGTAATAGTCGATATCTCCCTTTCTTTAGAGTAAGAAATATTTTTACATAATTCTTTTTTATTAAACTTATAACTTAACTTTTATAAGTATTACTAATTTAAGTTAAATTTATACTTGTAAATGTGTGTAGGATTGTATTGGAGCACTTGATGGCACACATGTTAAAGCAAGATTACCGCAAGGTCAAGCGATACCATATATTGACCGTAAAGGTTATCCGACTCAAAATATTCTTGTTGTCGTAGATTTTAATATGTGTTTTATATTTGCATGGGTTGGGTGGGAAGAAGCAGCTCACGATAGTCGTATATTTGGTGAGGCCCTTCGTAGACCAGAACTCAACTTTCCACGTCCAATTGGAAATAAGTATTATCTAGTTGATGCAGGATATCTGCATATGAAGGGATATATGGCTCCATACAAAGGAGATAGTGTGAGATATCACCTAGCACAATTCTGTCGCGGTGCAACAAGACAATTGCGAGAACCAAGAGGGAGAATTGAAAATTTTAACTATTTGCATTCTTCTTGTAGAAATATTGTAGAGCGCACATTTGGGGTTTGGAAAGCAAGATGGTCTATTTTGCGAGACATGCCTTTCTATCACATTGACACTCAAAGAGACATCGTACTTGCTACTATGGCCATTCATAACTATATTAGAAAGAAATGCAATATAGATTATGCATTCCGAGCAGCTGAGAATGAGAGATATGTTCCATCTGTTGATCCTGATGTTGGTACATTTTTTAGAGCTAATAATAATATAAATGCGAAAAATGTGGAAGAGCAAAGTGATCTTGTTTGGATGGGTCTTCGTGATTTGATTGCCAATGAAATTTGTGAAGTATACTTGTAGTTGTATGAATCTTTTAAAACACTAATATTTATTTTTTTACATTCCAATTGAGAAATGTTATTTTATTTCGTTCTCTTGAAATATGCATATAATTAAGTGGTTGAAATTAGAACGATTGAAATTAAAGAATAGTAATACTTGATTTATTGAAATTAAAGAGTAGTAGGACTTGATTTCAACATAGATATTCAATTCGAACTATAATAACATTGAGTTAAGATCTAAAGTTAGATCATTGTCATGTGTGATTTGTGTCATGCGGCTCAACTGTTGAGGGTTCAGAAATCAGCGTTCTGAAAATTTGATGCAATGATTTTATATTCTGAATCTTTATTAGTTAGAGGAACAAATTATTTTTCTTTCCTCTTTTATAAAAACAAAAAATGAGCGTTCAAGAATTATATTTGTAAAAACTATCTTAAGTAATCATTTAAATTGAAATTAAATTATTTTTTATTTACATTAATTATATGAATAAAATATATTGTAGTAATCAGCTCCTTTATAATGTTAACAGTTTTAAGGATATTTCTGTCTTTTTAACATAAAAAAGTTTTTACCAGTATTTGTTTACCAAACACTTCAACAACTTTTTTTAAGTTTCAACACTTTTATCCAAATAAGTAACTGCTATAAAACAAGTTTCAACACTTAAAAGTTATTTTTTTCCGGCTAATCCAAACGGCTTCATAGAACCATTCCATCGAACAAACACTCAAACCATATATTCAAAGGATCTAAATAAGCAAACAACTAAAACTATACTAAATGAGTCGTAGAAAGGAATAATAATAATATAATTAAACTAATCTACTAAAAAAAAAAAAACGTTAGCAGATGTCTAAGCCTACCCATTTTGCTAATTCCCTTATTATGTCAAATCCCATGGTCCATACTTAATCCAACTTAAATTCTTATTTTTTTTTATTTTTTTTTTTGTATATATTATCTTAAAACCCAATCACGTGCTCTACTGAAGCTCCTCTAATTTCAAATCAATATGCATACAAAGTCCACACACAAAGGGGCAGTAAGGAAATACCAGCAAACATGAACAACTAATCTTGACTTGAAGATCCTAAAGCATAACAACAACAGCAATCCAGTATAATTCCACTAGTGGAGTTTGGGGATAGTGTGTACGCAGACCTCACCCTACCCTGGAGCAGAGAGGTTGTTTTCGATAGACCCCCGGCTCCATCCCTCCAAAAACTCCTCACCTTGCTATTAGAGTGACTCGAACTCACAAACTCTTGATTGTAAGTTGATGGTGCTTGTCACTGGAGCAACTCACTCTTGTCCTAAAGATCCTAAAGCATACTGCATTTGAATAGGCTTCAAATTCCAACTGACTTCATGAAACACTATGATAGGCATTATTACACATAATTTCTAAAATACTCCATGAAAGCTTAATCAGTGATATTTATCAAAGGGAAATCTACAAATTAAGAATCTTCCCACATACATTTTATGTTTAAACAAAAATGGAAGGCAAATGCCATTATTCTCATCAACTAAAACACTTAGCAGTTAAATGCAAATTTCAACAAAAGGCATGAATCCAAATAATAATAAATCAACTAAGACTTCAAAAGCAATAGAGTGAATGTATTTTTCAGCCTAGGTGATTATCTTGGAGAAGAAGCTAGAAAAATCCAATAGCTTGACCAAATATATAAAATGAACTAAAAGTTAAAATATCAATATTAAACCTAAAATTAATATTTAAACACTAAAATATGTAAAAATTTAAGAAGGGTCAAAAATTACATGTCTACACAGTGAATATATATTTTTCTCCTCTAAGAGTTCGTATGTCCTTAATAGGTGTGCTAAATATAAAATGATCACTTATTGTGGCCCGGAAGAGTAGTAAAAAAATCATGAAACATGTACTATTTCTTCAAAATAATATAAATTTTAAAAAAATAAAATTGTTTTATAATTAGTAAAACTAAAGCATACTCTTAGTCGGTGGCGAAGCCAAGATTTTTTATTAAGGGGGTCAAAATGAACTCACCAAGAAATCAAGGAGTGTCAATACTTAGTATATATATATTTTTTTAAAAAAATTACCTAACTACACAATGTAATTTTTCGATTAAGGGGTTTCGGTTGACACCCCTTGAGTGCATATGACTTCGCCACCGCTCTTAGTCCCGGTAGAAAAGAAGAATTAACTAGATTAACAGCCCATATTAGCAATAAACTAAAAATAGCCACATTTCTGTTTTTGACCCAATTTACAAAGTGGGTTGATTTTGTTTATTTTTTATAGCAGATGTGTCAAAATATATTTCCCTAAATTTTAGTATTTATTTTATGTGATATTTTGATACCATTGACCGTTAATTTCAAAACAGTTACCTTAAATAATAAGAACTCAAATTTGCTCAAAATCTTTACCTCTTCCATTTCTTCAAAACTCTCTCTCACCCCTCCCGATTTACCCAAATCCCTTACACTCTCGATTCTTTCTAAACACCCACGTCACTGTTGTGGTGAATTCTAATTATTAATATGTAATATTAAATTTTATATCTGATGTACATGTTTCTGTAATTAAAATGCATATTCTTTATATATGATTTGTATATGAGATGTATAATTCATATTTTTATATATACAATTGGCATATGTGTTGTATAATTAATGTATAATTATATATACAACATTTATATTATGCACATGTCATATGTGATATATATATTTAACGAAGAATTAACAGAAATTATTTAATGTATATATAATTTGTATATAACAACAACGACTCAGTGAAATCTCACTAGTGGGGTATGGGGAGGGTAGTGTGTACGCAGACCTTACCCCTACCCCGAGAAAGTAGAGAGGTTATTTCCTAAAGACCCTCGGCTCAAAAGACGAAAAGAGACAATAATAGTATCACCAATAGAAACCATAGGAAAAATAACATCATGGAAATGAGAAAGTAGATGCAAAGCAAACGCGATAGACAGTACATATACCTGACACTATAGTAAATAAAGGAGTAGTAAGACACAACATTGCCACTAGCTGACATCGACAAAAATTCTATCAGACTAGCCTCACAAAGGTACGAAGTAAGGGAGACTCAACTACCTCCTAACCTACAACCCTAATACTCGACCTTCACAACTTTCTATCAAGAGTCATGTCCTCGAAAATCTGAAGCTTTACCGCGTCCTGCATGATCACCTCCCCTCAATACTTCTTAGGTCGTCTTCTACCTATTCTCGTGCCCTCTAAAACCAGTCTCTTACACCTCTTTACCGGAATATCTTGGCTTCTCCTTTCTATGTGTCCGAATCATCTGAGCCTCACTTCCATCATCTTGTCATCAATGGGAGCCACACCCACCTTCTCTCGAATATCTTCATTCCTAATCATATCCATCATAGTGTGTCCGCACATCCACCACAACATCCTAATTTCTGTTACTTTTATCTTCTGGATATATGAGTTCTTAACAGGCCAACACTCAACCACATACATCATGGTCGGTCTAACACCGCTTTGTAAAACTTACCTTCGAGTATTAGTTGTACTCTCTTATCATACAAGACTCCAGATGCTAATATCCACTTCATCCACCCCACCCCAATACAGTGTATGAGATCCTCGTCAATCTCCCCTCCCCTCTAGATAACCGACCTAAGGTACTTGAAATTGTCACTACTTGGTATGACTTGTGATTCAAGCCTCACTTCCACTCCCACTTCCCTCGGCTCAGTGCCTTTATCCTTAGTCAAGGCACCCCACTTGATTCTCGTTCGTCCTCATTCGAATCTTTTTCTTCTCTTTAACATAATACCAACATCCATCATAAAGAGCCTATGCTGCATCATGAGTATCTTATCTGGAATAACCTTACAATTATTGCACAACATCCATCATAAGGAGATAGTCAATCTGAGTCATAGTCATAGCATTTTGGAAAGTAACCAAATTTTCCTTCCTCTTCGTAAAGTTAGAGTTCGCAATCACCAACCCAAGAGCCTTAGCGAAATGCAACAACGAAGTACCTCCTATGTTCCTCTCCCCAAAATCGAAGCCTCAATACACCTCGCCATAGCCGTCTGCGGACGACCCAATATGACCATTGAAATCCCCTCCTATAAATAGCTTCTCAGTAGGCAGGAGTTGACGCACAATCTCATCTAACCCCTCCCATAATCGCCGTCTAACCTCCTCATCCATGCTCGCATATGGGGCGTAGGCGCTAATGATGTTTAGGGTGCACTCTCCAACCACCAACTTAATAGTCATCAATCTATCATTCACCCATCTAACCTCAACCACCGACTCTCTAAGTTCCCCATCCACCAAGATACCCACTCAATTCTTACCCTTCCGGACTCCGGAGTACCAAAGCTTATACCTGTCTGCATCCCTCGCCCTAGACCCTACCCATCTAGTCTTCTGGACACACGCTATATTGACCCTACTCTTCCGGAGGATCTTTGCCAACTCTATAGATNCCCCCCACCCGAGAACATGACCTCACTCGGCCATTCTAGATCACAACCACTATACCTACGACAGACTAAAGGAAATCAATAACACACACTAGGCACAAACCAGAGTAAAGAAAGATATATTGTAACTACAGGCATGCTAATATGATGATTAAACTAATACGAACTAAGATGGCAACAATTTAACTAACACAACGAAGGGAAACAAGAAAACGGGAGGTATCAACTCTCGCAATTAGAAACTGGAAATTATCTTGGTATGCACGGCGGTATTGCGGCCACCTTGCACTTTCACGTCCAACTCCCGCATAGTCCCTTGTTGATAGTCGCCCGGGCTGTTCTTCACTGTTTGCACACGCACGTCCCACTATCTGCCAAAAGCTACTGACCCTAATCTGAAATACACACAAAATACTACGAAACCAAACAAAGGGAGGAAGGGTTGTTATCGCTACCACTGGTGAAGTCCCAGCCATAGCAAAAATGCGCACACAAAAGGGAACGAAGAGAAATAGAGAACGAAGAGGAAAGGAGCGGAGAGGGGGGGGGGGATTACCTGCAACTAAGAATTAAAAATGAAGAAGAAAAGCAAGAGAGAAGAGGGCCGGTGTTGCTGCCCGGCGAAACAGCAGTCGCCGATAGTGTTGTTACTCTAGTAAGTATGGGAGTGGGAAGAGGGAAAGAAGAAAGAGGAGAGTGAAAAAGGAAGGGGAGACGTGAGAGATGAGGGGGGTTACCTGCTGGTGGGGGTAGTCGCCGACGTGGGGTGCTCGCCGGCTGCCTGTGAATGTTTGGTCTTGTTTTTGACCGTTGGGGATGGGGATGGAGCGTTTGCCAATTTCAAGAAAGTGACTGCAAAAATCAAGAGGTAATTTGTATATGAGATGTATAATTTAGACACTTATATTATACAAATGGCATATGTGTTGTGTATTTAACGTAGAATCATATATACAATAATTATTTTATGTATATATAATTTATATATGAGATGTAATAATTGAGGCCTTTATGTTATACAAATGGTATGTGCATTATATAATCAATGTATGAATATTTTTTGTATATAATTTTTAGTTTTAGTGTGTCTAAGGCCTCATTTGTTTGCACTTAATAGAGGTGTGAATCTTAATCATTCAGTTCTCATATATTAAGTGTGTTTGTTTTTAAAGTGTGAATCTTAATTATTCAGATCTTAATTATTAAGTATTTTTTTTACTTCATAACCATTTAATGGGTCCGAATAGATATGTATGATTAAGATCCATAACAGAGACTTAATTTCATTAAGATGCTATCATCCATATTCATTATTAACTGCCTTCATCGCCTACCATTATAAACTACTACCATGCCACCCACCACCACCATACTCAACCTCCACTACCACCATCCTCTATCATAGCCGCCATCATTGTCGATTACAACCACCCACTATCCCTACCACTCCCACCACCCCATCATTCTCAACGACAACCAACACTCATCCACCTCAACTACCACAACTAACCACCCCATCATCATCAACAACCATAGCTGACTCTACCCATCATTATAGTAGATACCACTACCAATCACCGCTAGCTACTACTAAACTACCACCATCAACCAAATCTGCCACCAACCACCACTTTTAATCGGCATTCACAAGCACTACCGTTAGCCATCACCACTAGCAACTATTATATTTTAAAAGCTATATATTTTAATGTTAGAATATTAGATTAATTAGTATTTTATTTGAATTTTATGTCTATTAATTTTCAGATAAACGTAAATTTTATACATTCGAATGTTAAAAATCAAACAATCTTAATCATTTAGTATTCAGATCTTAATATACATCTTTAACATTCAGATGTGTATTCATATTCATATGTCTAAATTTTAATACACATCTTGATATTTAGACGTGTATTCAGATTCATACGTCTTAATCTTAAAAAAATAAATGAGGCCTAAAAGTACCTGATTATGTATTTGATGTAGGTGATTTTTCCGTTTAGTGGATATAATTTATATTTTTATAACATAACAATGTGAGTATATCTTTTGAGATTTGAATCAAAGATATCGCTAGCTATTGGAAATGAACGTGATCCTTGGCTGACTTTTTGTGCTCTCATTTCTGCAAATGTCACGGGTATAAACTATATATACAGTTTTTCAACACACGAGTGACACCTAAAGTATTGCAAAGCAAACACTACAAAACGGCAAGATGCTTACTCAACAAATCCATTCGACAATTGACACCATTAAGTCTATATTTATTCATGAAATCAGTCAACAGTTATACATGAGCTCGGAACGTACCTTTATATTGATGAATAAAGCTGAAAATTTACTACTCAATCGGAATAACAAAGCAACAATCGTTGGACTGAAATGCCGAAATTGTGAATCGGAATCTCGAATCGGCACCGAAAAACTCGAAATCCAAACCCGACTTCAATTAAACTCCGTCGGATTTCATGGTTTCGAAATCAAAAATCAAAAGAAGAAGCTAAAATCTGTTCTGGCGGCATGAGCTGCGAGCGTAGCAGTCATCGGATGTTTCACCATTTTGTGAGTCCTTTCCTCAATAAATCAACGTTCTCTTGAACCTTGGCTAAAATAGGGACCTTGAACGGAGAGCTCAAAAGGTATCGACTCGCCGACTCAAAGGGTGACAGCTTTTCTAATTATAAGAGTGGTGGTATGACTTATGAGAAGCAACCGGGGTAGGAGACCACAGACGAAACCGCGTGTAGCAAATTCAAATGTCTTCTACACCCCCAACTCCGATACAACTTGGCAAAAACGAAATCTAGTGTTCCGGAAGAAGAATTGACGGAGCTTTTAATAACTCACTCAAAAACTCAAATGATCTGAATGGCAAACGGGGATGATTTTGGCTATGGTATTTTAATTTGTGGCTGCTGAACCAGAGGAGCTTAGTTTTAGCTTATGGAGTTTGGTGACTTTATTGCTAACTAAAGGACGATGGCCTAACGCTAGTGGTGGAGCTACTGCGGCGTTAATGGAGGAAAGCCGGGGTAATTGGTATATGAAGAAGAAGGCGACGGGTTCTTAATCCTAAGCTGCTAGGGTTCGTCCGTCTCTGTTCAATGAGAAAATAAGGGAGAGCTCTCTCTTCTGAAGGGGGGGCCTTGTTAGGGTGTAGGAAATTAGGTTTTATTTTTATTATAAAAGGGTTGTGGGTTAGGGAATGAGTAAATGGGCTAAGGGGAGAAGTGGGCTCAGGTCCGAAAATGGGCTTCACCAATAAATTATTTTGGCCCAAATTCAATTCTTTCTCGTTGAACAAAAATAAAAATACTACCAAAATAAATTAATTAATCTTAGTTAATCAGAATAAACTATTTTTGTGTTTTTAAACTTATGTTTTAAAATAAAAATTAAAAGTTGATGGAAAATCCTATAAAAATAAAAATAAGTAAATATTTTTGAAATATTATTTTTAAAAGTTGCGCGGGTCAAAAATTACGTGCTTACAATTTCATCAATTGGTATAAATTAGATCTGGTTGCTTCTTTATTTATCTTATTACATTTGATTGAATTGTATTTTAATTTTTTATTTAGAAGTGAATGATATTTAATTTAATTACAAATAAAACTCAATGTATTTAATTGGTTGGTTAGTGAAATTTATTTACAAATAGAATTTTATACATAGGAAGCACAAACTTAGTTTAGGCAATTTTTTTAGAATTTGCTAAGAAACTATTAGTATGTTATAAAATAATGACTTATTTCCATAAAAGTTATGTAATGAAAACGTTCAGGTATATAAAATTTGTGGAACTAAAAAAAGTGCCTAGTATAAGATTAGGAAGAAAAAAGAGAAAAAGCAATATATTGGTTAGTAGCTGTCCCTATTTAAAAAGGGTACATATTCTCACTTAGCAGTCCTGCTATGGGGAGTTTGACGGGTCAGCTTTGGGCTGATTTAATGGGTTCTGCCCAAACCAGCCCATCAGGAAAATTCTTTTTGCCCAACCCATTAAATGCTGGGCGGGTTGAATGGGTTTGGGCCAATTTTGGCAGCCCTAGATCTGAGCATCTAATTGATTTGAAGACAAAAAGTGGTATTTAAAGTTTACATTTCCTTGTGGACTGGCTCATTTTCTTTTTCAGCACCAAAAAAAAAAAAAAAACCCAGGCCAAAACCCTAAAAATTGGCGACTTGTTTCAAGAAATTAGTGGGAAAAAAATGGAGATGGAAGACAGCCATGGACGCCAAGAACCATGAGCCGCCAAAGCTAAGTATCAAACAAATCAGAATGGCCTATAAATTCAAAATTATGGACCTACCAATGGTGATTATGTTGGAAATCCTTTCGAAATTGCCAATCAAGTCCATTTTCTGCTGTAAGATTGTTTGCAAACTTTGGTATAAACTTTAAAATTCTGACCCTTTATTTCTTAACATGTATCACAAAAGATCACCTTTTTCCTGCCTTTTGCTTTCGGACGTTGATGCACCTATCACTCTAATTGAACTCAAACCAAATTATGATTGTTATTCTTGCCCAGTAAACAAACCCATTGCATTAAACCCTAAATTTCACCTCCCTCCACTTGATAATCTTGGTGTTGGTTTTGTTAAACGAACATTGAGATTAATCGGTTCATGTAATGGTTTCATTGGTTTGTTGAGTAAGAATCATTCAGTTTATGTTAGCAATCCTCTTGTGGGTGAGTATTTCAAGGTTAAATTGCCCAAAAGGGAAAAAGGAGTTCTTCAGATTATTTATGGATTTTGCTTTAGTGAGGTTTCTGGACAGTGTAAAATATTGAGATTAATAATTAGGAAGTTCCAGGGTCATGATCATAAAGTATCTGAATTGGAGGTTTATACTATTGGAGTTGATGCGAAATGGAGAAATGTGGGCAAAGCTCCATACCCTTTATGGGGATCACTTAGCAATGTTAATGTGAATGATACTCTTCATTGGCTAGATGATGAAGATACTGAAAAAGGTGCCAGAATTTGCTCCTTTAATATTACGACAGAAGAGGTGAAGCCCGTGCCAGCTCCACCCGGTCTGAAAACTCCATCTGTGTTGTTGATGCTGGCAAAGTTGGGGAATTGTCTGTGTTTATCTGATATTAGCTATGAACAGCATGTTGATATATGGTGGATGAGAGAGTATGGGGTTGCTGAATCTTGGACTAAAGATCGCATTTTGATGGATTCTATTCCGTGTGATATCTGTGATACTAAATATATACCGACCATAATTTGGAAAGATGGAGAAATCTTGATGCGAAGCCATCGTGGCACACACCTCGTTTCTTACAACCCAAAAGAGAAGAAGTTCAGGAAGGTCCATGTTTACGGTTTTGGCATTGACGCGACTAAATACGTTCCAAGTTTTTACTCACTCAATCCAAGTTTTTACTCACTCAAGACTGTCATGGGGGACGATTTTCAAGTGTCAAGTGTTTATCCGAAGACTCAGACAGTTTAGTAGTATTTGTTTTGTCTTACTTCCTCCTGGATATGATGTTTTGCATCTATGTTTCTGGTTTAGTTTAGTTTAAAACCTGGTGACTTGCACTGTTTTTTGGATGGTTGTGAATTCTGGTAGAAGAACAACTCTGCCTATATGAGTATATGTTTTCCATTTTCAAATTCCTAATTACTTGCATTACCAAGTATCTAAAGTTGCATTTCTTTTACCCATTCCATCTTGCATCTGTATATTTGGTAATGACTTGCAATTTTAGGCACATTTACCAAATTGGAGGCAAAGGGGATTGAGACTATATATATCTGCTCTTTTCTAAAAACATACTGTATTTGTTTCTTTGGTCGGAGAAATGGCAGCAAAAGTCAGCACTTTGGTTAGGATAATGAACGGAGGTGATAGTCATGACATGAATGAATCATCATCTTCATCATCATCATCATCATCATCAAGGGGTGGTGGAAAATCGACGGCCCTGATCACTCGGGACTTGCTCGGCGGATGTTGCACCCTTGACTCTAAAGAGTTGGACCTCGACTTGCAGGTTCCTTCTGGCTGGGAAAAGCACCTCGACTTGAAGGTCCGTAGCAGTTTTAACTTCATATACAACAACTCTTTAGAGTAAATGGTGCTGAAATTTCTGCTAAAACCATTAATGAAATTTCTGTTAAAACTGCAACCGACCTTATACTTCTTTTTTCTTGTATACGTGTGTGTTTCTAAAGTATGGACCTGATAAGTACTGTTTCTTATATAGATTTAAACTAATTTGCTACCTGATTTTCACAATAGTTTCTAGTTTATCTTACTAAACTTTTAGTAAACATTGTCTCAATATTCTAAGATAGTCCAATATCCAGGAAATTTCTTCCAAACTTCTCAGAAACAGCATGGCAGGGTATTATCTGACTAGAAAACCCCTGTAATTAAATAAAAAATTTCTGTCTGCCTTAAGTATTCTCCATTGAGTTTCACTTCCACACACTAACAATATAAAAGAATTTCTATTCTATTAGATTAGAATACCTAAATGATAATTACAGGTAGTTCTGTCCATGAAATTTGAGATTAGTAAACCGAAAAACAAGGTAATCACATGCTACAACATGTTAAAATACACTAATAGGGTAAAACTTCTTTGACTGTCAGCTTATTTAAATTAAATCCTTCTTCATTAAGCCTTCCCAAAACATCTCCATCTACAATCAAATACATAAAATGTTTGTTTAAATGTTGAATATGTGTGGGATTAATAAATACACATACTAAACCATGCCACTTTGTCACTAAAGTAATAAATTATTCTTTTCAGCTTTGACTATATGACAAGCTGTTCCTGTACAGAAGCTTGAATTTTAAATTAAACGAGATCATGATCTTCTTGAGAGAGAATGCTGCAACATTTATAACACTAAAGAAAAAGACTACAAAATCGGATGGACTGTGCTTATTTTCATGGCCAAATCTAAAAGTTGGACAGATTTTAGCCTCAATCAACCCATAAAAAAACTTGTCAAAATATTTAAACTCATTTTTTTTTGTTTGATATGTTAACCGTATCCATAATAAAGTTAAAAGTATTCTCTTAGTTTGGTTTGTAATTAAACAAAAATTTAGAACTTGATTAGAGTTCGACAGATTGGGTTATGCCTAAAGCTGTCAAATGGGCTGGCCCGGCTCCGGTCCGGACCGGCCCGATCCAGACCGGACCGGCCCAGTTGTAAGGGACCGGGCAGGGCTGGGTTGGCACGGTGATCGGACTGTGCCGGGTAGTTTTTTTGGTATCGGTTAATCGGACCAGTACGACCCGTTATGGTCGTCACATGGGAACCGATTAACCGGACCGGTTCAATGATTATTATTATTTGTTTATTTTTATAATTACGATTGTTATACAAAATAAAAAAATAAAATTAATTAAGCCCGGCCCAGCCCACTAGACCCGGAACCGTTCCGGTTAAATTTTGCACCGGGGAAGCCCGGAAGCGGTAAACCCGGTAAAAAATAACCGGAGCCGGCCCGGTAATGAAACCAGCCGGCTCCCTTTTCCTCTGCCCCTAACCGGTCCGGCCCGACCCCTTGACACCATAGTTATGCCCCAGTGTTTATTCCACATTGACCTAGTTCATCTCAGCTCAAGTAATAATATTTGGACTAGTTAATGACCCATCCATTTATTATTCAGTCATTTTGACCAACCAACCCAAATTTGACTCGACCCCCTCATTTGACCCCCCCCTGTTAGGAATATAATGGAAATATCAAGGATCTATGAGATGAATTATGACGCGAGAGGATTTGTTTTGAAAATAATCAATAGAACCTTTGTCATGTCTTATGAGTTATGACTCTTCATTTGAGACGCATTTGCCTGATTAAGGGCCAAATATAATGACATTTATTTAATTTTCACGAAATGGTTAAAAAAGTTTATACCGGAATCAGAAGTGTGCAAAAGTTTACAATTTTGACCGGTATCTTCATATCTTACTAAGAATCTCGCACGGTTTTTTCCAAAACAAAGGAAGAGAAAGGTTGATTTTTAAGTGAAGAAATTTTATTCTTGCTGGTATAGTAGTTGTAATAAATATTTTTTGGCAGCATTCATTTCCCATCATCGATTCAAAATGTTAAGGTTCTGGTTTTTGTTGAGGACTGAGATGCGCTGTATAGACGCAAGGATTCATATAGCCGATCCCAACTTGTTTGAGATTAATAGTAATTGTATTAGCTGACAAGATTTGGAAAACAAGCCAGAGTCAACTGACTATTCTTATGTCAAGCAAAATTTGAAAATAACACCAAGTTTCTTCCAGAAATGAATGTAAAAACCAGAAAGAGGCCAGAGTTTCATAGTAGAGAGAGCATTATAAACCAATCAACATATCATGGTAACATCTAATTCAAAAATAAAAAAGTAAATGATGACAATATAGTAGCTAGGCTTGTTAGAGATAGATGGACTTGTATCTGAATTTGCTTGTAATTGTTATAGTGCTAAGCAGGGAAACCCGGAAAGTTAAGAAAAATATTTTCCTCCTATTAGTAGAAAATTTATTTCCATAAGAATAATATATTTTTTTTAAATATTTAAACCAACCAAAAATTAAGTATTTTTCGCTCTACATTCAAATTTGGGCAAGTTATCTCCAAAATAAAGCTTCATCACCACCTTCACCGCTGCTATTATCCATAACTGCCTTCTGGATTTCCTGCAAATTAATTTCTTCTTTTTTTAGTAGGGAGAGCTTTTTGTCACGACACAAATCGGAGGCCATGACGAGCACCCGATACCTTACTCAATCGAGTACCAACGTAACGTATCTTTCTTATCACACCATCATGGGTAAATGGGCCAGAAGGGTCGTCATGAGATAACCAGAATAAAACATAAGGGAATACTAGACATATGACGACCCAACATGATATAGAAACTTATACATGTGATATACGGGCCTATAAGGCCGACATGATTATTTGTACACTCAAAACATAGGTCGACAAGGCCATACAAGTATCCATGTACATGACATATGTCTACAAGCCTCTAAGAGTACATAAACGTCATAAAGGTCGGGACAGGGCCTCGCCATACCAATCAATACATGTTCAAATCATACTGACCAAATAGGCAACTGCGGAGCAAGTGGAGTGCGCCAACACCTTCCGCTGAGCTGATAGGCTACTAGGAGGATTTTCAACTTATCTATTTGGACCTGTGGGCATGAAACGCTGCATCCCCAGGCAAAACGGACGTCAGTACAAATAAAGTACCGAGTATGTAAGGCATGAAAGCAGTATATAGAAGACATGAAAGAAATATGGACTAAAAACCTCAACCTGTAAGTCTGAATAACTCTGTGAATCATAAAACATTTATAATGTCATGCATATGCGTATAAATGGCATATCATGCATATGTATATGCGTACATAACATCATCAAGCCTCTGAGGGCATCCCATCATATCATCTCGGCCTCTGTGAGCGAAATCATCAACGTATAATAGTTGATCAGGTGATGGTGCGTATATAACGCCATAACCTTTCCCCATACCCCATATACATATAATATACGCGTATATAACGTCATCTTGTCATGGTTCAATATACATGTATAAATGAATGTAATGCATAAGAAGTAAGTCAATAAGATCACTCGGGATGTCATAAGATCAATATGCCTTCGGTTAATATCATAAAATAAACTTTATCAACTTACGTATTTTCTGAGACCCATGAACATACGATATAATAATAGGACACATGGGAAATCAAGAACATAGGCACCCCTAGTGCTTCTAAGAATAGAGTCATTTGTGAAAGTTCCGCGTTTGCTCGTTTCGTTTGTATCATATGGATCATGCCAAAAGGATAGAAGGGATAGCCGTAATATACCTCAACTCCGTTGAGTCCTTAATACCTTCCAAGCAATTTTTCAAACAACTCAACTCAATCTACCATAGCACAAGGAGATTCAAAATCCGTGCTAAGTAAAGGCTAAGTCCGCAACTTTAACTAGTAGCTAAATTTGGGCAGCATCTCCCCTGTAACAAGGGCCTCCTCCAATACCATATACCAACAACAACAAACAGAGCAATACAATAAGAACAACATCAACAATAGGGTATAAAATATTTCATTAACAAGTCATCAACATATCACGACGAGCGACAAGCTCAGATTTATTCCCTTTAGCACCCTTCAACTCCATTATCATTCATTCTTGAACTTAGTAATATATCCAGTATAATAACCAATACCTTTTAAAAGATTTCCAACCTTGTATTCAATTTCAAAGTTACCCGAAATAGCCTAACACAAGATAATATCACTGTGGACAACTTCCAAGTGCTTTATAGCCATTTCTTTTCTAGTTACCAATTTCCTCAACAAGATTGACATGTAAACCAACATAATCATACTAACAATATCATAGCCAACTTATTTTCCATAATTTCCAGCCACTTAATGTCCATAAGAGCAACTTTCAAATCAATC